CTCTCTGCGTGTGCTTAGTCTCCCCATTTCCACACCGTCCTGCAGAGTGGTGCATTTGTGACAACAGATGAGCCACACTGACATGCCATAATCACCTAAAATCAAGAATTCAGGGCTGGCTCCTGTTGGTGCAGTCAAGGCCTGGAGAAGCGTACAATGCCTCGTGTCCACTCCTATAGCATCACCCTCAGTCCCTGACAGCCAAGGCATTTCAGGCTCTTCCATTATTCTGCCTTGTCCAGAAGGTCATGGAATTGGCCCTGCACAGCGTGGAGTCTCGTGGCTTCTTTCATTTTCCAACGTGCATTCGAGCTTTAGCTTCCTTCAAGTCCATTCGTGGTGTAATGACTCCTTCCTCTCTGTAACTAAACAGCAGTCCCATGTCCAGAGCAGGCCCCAACCATTAAGCCGTTTAGTAACTGCAGAAAAGCCTTGCTGCTTTGTCCCCTCCCTGGTAAGCTGAGGCAGGGTGGCAGACTGCAGCCCTTCCAGGGGGAGAACCAGCAGTGTCTCCTGAGATCCATGCCATGTTGGAACTGAGGACGCTGTGAAAACAAATGACCATGCTGCCTCCCTGCTTAGCAATAGTGAACCTACTGCTACATGGCCTAGAGTCAAATATCCCACTTCCCTGATCCTCCTTCTCCTCCCCCCCGCCCCGCCCATTAGCAAATGGGAACCAGAAATCTGAGCATCTCCTGGGAGGCTGACCATAGCAAATAAGGGGGATTTCCTTCTACCATTTCTTTGAAGGCAAGTATTTTTATTACTGTTTTGCTCTTTTCTGATTAATGGTACTGCTTTCCCAAAATAGAATATTGAATCTATTCAATATTCTGTTTTGATAAGTTCTATAGTGTTCTGTATTTCATCTCAATTTGATATACGGGATTGAAAGAACAACTATTATAAAGATAACAAAATATACTGTGATACCTATTACTGTTATCCCGGTAACCTGCTGTGAAGTTCTATACCAATTTCACTGTAGGATTTAGTGGGCTTTATTCTGACTTTGTGTTGTATACTTTCAAAATAAAATTAAAAAAAAAAAAAGATGCAAGATTACAAACAGCAAAAAAAAAAAAAAAAGAAAAGCCTTGCTGATTTCAAGGTTTAGCTTTCTGCCAAAGCTTCTAGAAGCATCAGTGTACAAGTTTTTGTGTGAACAAAAGTTCTCAACCACTTTGTGTAAATATCAGGGCCCTGAATACTAACTGTATTTCCTTTTCTACAAACCTGCCGAGCCATCTTGCAAAGCGGACGTACCATTCTGAATGCCCACCAGGGTGGGGTCCCTCCCGTGGCCCCACATCCTGGCCAGCATTTGCTGCTGTCAGGGTCCGGACTGCTGGGTTGCGGTTTCTCCTCACTGTTCTCTTTCCCATGTCTCTCACGGTGAGAGCCGGGCTGCATTTCTCTGTGGACATCTTCTCTCATGAGGTCTCTGCTATCACCCTTGGTCTGCTTTTACTCATATTGTTCATTTTCTTATTTTTCCATTTCAAAGATCTTTGTGCATTTTGTACTATAGTTCTTCACCAGATGAGCATTTGTAATTTAGAAACTGGAACCCAGAAAGCTTGCACCAAGCTGCCTCCCCAGTCCTTTTTGTTTTGAGAAAGGGCCTTGCTGAGTTTCCCAGGCTGCGACAGTCCTTGTGCTCTTTAGGCCTCAGCCTCCCCCACCGCCCTCGTCCCCACCCCGTGACAGGGTTTCAGGCACGAGCCACCACTCCCAATTCTCTCACAAATATTTTTACGCAAGTCTGTGGATTTGTCCCTTGATTCTCTTGATACTGTCTTCCATAATATTTTTTATTTTAAGGCAGTCCACATTACCAATGAGATCTTTCATGAATGGATTTCATGGTATATCTAAAAATCATCTCCATTCTCCAGGTCACTGGATTTCACTTTGTTTGTTAAATTCAAGTCTATAATTTATGTGACAAACCTTAATTTATGTGACGGGTGAACACATGGCTGTCTGGTCGATAGGCACTTTTTCTGAAGGAACATCCTTGCTTCATTGCATTGCTGTGACCATTAGACTAAGATCAGGGGAGTACGTTTATGGGACTCTCTGTCTGGATTTGACTGTGGTGCTTTTCTCTGTCTGCCTGTTCTCTCATGAGCTTTGCACTGTCATGACGATAGCTTTGTAGTCTTGAAACCAGATACTGTTGTGTAGTGGTTTGATGCCAGGTCTACTGCTGCCTTTGTAGATGGGCTGCCATATTAACAAGATAATTTCCTGAAAACAGAAATAACCAAAGCAAACTGAACAAAACGTAAAAGTGCTTGAACGGAAAATCAGATATTAAATTCATGAGGAAACTCTTTAAGGTGCAGGGAACTCCAAGACAAAGAAAGAGTCTGCAGAAGGGGTGACTGCACCCAAGCCAGGTGTCCTGGTCACACCTCGAGGAAGCCCTTCCCAGCCACAGTGTGGAACCTGGACTGAGGTGCTGCCGCATCCTGACAGGAAAGCTGAGGTCTTCCCGCTGTGCCCACCTTGACCTTCCCACTGTGTCTTTTTTTCTAGAGTCCTGGACGGCTCACAACCATGGGCCAACTGTTTTCCGCAGACTCCAGCACAGAGAGTAAGACCTTAGCCTCCAGCTTCAACGAGTATTTTAAAAATTTCAAGCAGGAAAGCAAAGTCCTCTCAGAGGAAGCCAAGGTGTTGATTCAGTACTTTCTGGAGAAGGGGGACGTTCCGAAAGCAGTTTCTATAGTTAGCTCTGCTTTGAAAGACATCAAAAATGCTCCACTGAGCATTGCAGTGACAGGGGAGAGTGGAACAGGAAAGTCCACTCTGATCAATGCCCTGCGGGACATGGGGAATGAAGAGGAAGGTTCTGCTCCAACTGGGCCAACAGAGACCACCATGGAGAGAACTGAATACAGACACCCAAGGTTTCCTAGTGTGTCGATATGGGACCTGCCTGGCCTGGGGACCACCAACTGCCCTCCAGAAACTTACCTGCAGAAAGTGAAGTTCGCTGAATATGACTTTTTCCTGATCGTTTCTGCCACCCGCTTCAAAGACAATGATGCACAGTTGGCCAAAGCTATTGCAAAAATGAAGAAGAACTTCTATTTTGTTAGGACAAAAATTGATACTGAGTTAGCCAATGAGGAGGTCGCTAAGCCTACAACCTTTAATAAGGACAACATCCTCCGAGTGATATCACGTGACTGTGAGAAAAAACTGCGGGAGGCACAAGTGACAGCCAGTAAAATATTCTTAATTTCCAGCCTTCATCCACATGAATACGACTTCCCTGAGCTGCAGAGCACCCTTGTGACGGACGTGCCTGCTCAGAAGCGCCACGTCCTCATGCAGTGCCTGCCCAGTGTCACCGAAGCTGCCATCGATCGGAAGACAGATGCCCTGAAGCAGATGATGTTTATGCAGGCTCTGAAGTTTGGAGCTGTAGCCACCAAGCCCTTCACGGGTCACATCAGTGACAAAGACATAGAGAGGCTGGAGGAGAGCTTAGTCCAGTACAGGTCTTACTTCAGGCTGGATGATGCGTCACTAGAAAAGGTGGCCAAGACTTTGCACGTGTCCGTGGAGGTCATCAAGGCAAACCTCCAATCTCCCCACCTGCTGTCTGCTGAGGGTGATGAATCCTTAGTGGAACAGATGAGCCAGGTTATTGAGTCAGCTAATTTAGCAGGAGAATTTTTTGTCTCTGGCCTTTACTTTACAATGGTCTTTTGTTTGCAATATCACTTCCTTGACATCGTGGCAAAGGATGCAAAAGCTCTGCTTGAAAAAATACATCTTTTTGGTGCCTCTGCCAGCTCTTAAGGTGGCTACAAAAGGAAACTGAGGCAGCCGGCCCCTGCCTTAGCCCCCCGGCTCTCCTGGCTCTGGACTCTGGGAAGATGGCTCAGGGCTCCCTGAGGCAGGCGGCGGGGTAATACAGTAATAAAGCACAGCAATCTGAGATTTCACGCTAAGAGGACAGAACATCTCACTGTCTGCTGGCCACGTCACACCCTGGGCCCCTCTTACTGAAGATCCAACAGTAAGAACTTGCCAGGCACATTGGCAGGACTTCCCAAATATCTGTGAGTGGGTGTGTACAGAGCGTGTTTTCCGTGTTCCTGACATTCTGCTACAAATGTACACACTCTGGTCACCAGTGGGACAATTAATATTGGCGGCTGTGCTCCTTAGTTCCTTTGGGTTAGCATTTTCTTGGGTAAATATGAACCATAATGAACTAAAAGTTGTGTAATGTGTCACGCGAGAGAAACAGTACCGAGGTCAAACTTTCATGCATGAGACTGTGAGGGCAAAGGCGGGAACCCCACGCTGGGGGCTCACACTGGACACCCCGGCGCTGCTGGGTTGCTAACGTGGCATACTTTGTGACTGAGCATGAGAAATTAGGGAATAAGAGAAAGGAAGATAATATTAAAAGTTCATTAAAAATAAGGAAAGCTACAAAATTTCCTTAGATAAAAGTGCCTAAACTTTCATATAAGAAATGAAATTAAATTAGAAACAAGGAACCAGCAGCAGCAGCAGCAGCCATGCAGTGCCCAGGAAGAGAAACAAGACCCCAATCCCTGCTCCCCGTGAGCCAGAGGATGCGCAGGCTGGGGAACAGGGAGAGCCGCCCTCGGCCTCCACCGAAAAGCTCCTGGCTGACTTGGAGGAACACAGGCCGAGCTGAGAGCAACTGAGGTGCAAAAGCAACTTAATTCTCGTATTCTTACTGACTCTGCAGGCCTAAAGCCAGTAGTCAGGGTCTATTTAGAGGATAACAATATGCAATATAGCAACCATGGGGGATTTCTTTTTGTCTTGTTCTTGAAATCAATATTCAATATTCTCACTGTTTTGTTTCATTTTATTGTTTTGTTTTCTTCAATGTTCTGTTTTGATTGGGTTTATGGTGTTCTATTTTACTAGATTTTAGTATGTCTGATGGTATGGGCAGCAAATTTGAAGGCAAAAATAAGGGATTATGGTAGCTATTGTTCATTCCCTATTATCCTGTTTGGAAGTATTCTATCACTTTCACTGCTTTGATTGGCTTTCTTTTGTTTTATTTTGTTTGGTTTTGTTCTCCTTACAATATAATTTTAGAAAAAAAGTAGAATAAAGAAACCATTTCTTCCCTATCTGAAAAACTGCAAAATCTAATTTATGGGTGAATTTCTAGAAAATGGTTTCTCACATTCAAAGCTGCTGCCAACAGAAAAGTGACAGAACCCAGTACTGTGGGCTATTTGGCAGCCCCAGTGGAGTTACACAGGCGTTTGTAAACACAGAGGCCTCATTTGGGTGGTTTTCATTTCTGAGCACAATGAGTGCTTCCTTCAAAGCCTCCACAGAGTGCGCATTGCCGCAAACAATGATGCAAATCGCACCCCTAAAGTCCCAGCCTGTAAAAGGCTCATCTGGCCATCGGGGGAGAGGACTGGGACCCAGCACCCAGGAATACGCTGTGAAAATCCCACCACTTCTTTCACTGCTGGTGTGAAACTCATGGAAAATTCTTCCCAGATCCCACGCCCCAAAGCACATGGACCCCCGTGTGGAGACTTACTTTCCGATAAGTCAGATCATCTCCCTCCGAGGCTGCCCAATAACTGTTCTTGTTCTTGTTCTGAGAAAATCCATCTCCCGCAACCCCATCACGCATTCCCCGAGAATAAGATCGGAGAAGTTCACACGATGTCCATTTGCAGTACAACGGGGTGCCCACTGGGGTGCTGCTCCACATGCTGCCCCTCTTCCTGTCCACTCACACTGACAAGCTGCAGGCTGTCTCAGGGAAAAGGCTGCTCAGCACATTCCACAGTGTCAGGACCTAAATTGCACTGCTCCCTGTCCTGGGGAATCCACTCTCCCCTCTGGGGCCCTGTGCACCCCACTGAGCTTCTCCTGCTCTGGATTGTACACAGACTGCTGCCTGTGTTCTGCGGTCACCAGCCAGTCACTCCTTCCTTTGCAAAATTAGAAGAGGATGTGTTCGGCCACAATTATCATGTAGAAACACATTTATAAGACATCAAACTTATAGATATTTCATGATCAATTAGAAATCTCTGACCGCTTTTCTGTGTCCTCCTGTTTCTGCTGAATTCAACTGACCTTGACGGTGTCCAAGCCCAGCTGCGCACCTCTGATGAGCGCTGAGTCACAGTAATTTGTGTACCTTAAGGCGCCCTGGACTAACCCAAGGGCCCTCCCCGGAATGCTCCATGTCATGGTAATGACTTCCCTGTGCTCACTCTGTAAGGGCTGCTCCCCCGTGCCCCAGTGACTCTGTAACATGATGAACAATTCCTTTGTTTCCAGACCAGCCTGCCTGCCAATATAGGCCTCAATGTACCTAAGCAGCTATGTGACGCTTTGTCACTTGTTTTAAACCTCCCACTTCTAAATTGCATGTAAACTGACTCTCCCTAACTCAGCCCTGTTGCCTTTGAGGAATTATCCCGTAGCTGCTGTGAAGATCCAACAGTCTGCTGGTGTAAAGCTTACATGGCGCCCTCTTCTCTCCTTGGTGCAAAGGGTCTTCCTTCGGGTTTGGTTTGGTGAGAGTTTTCCTGCAAGAGAAGGAGGCGAGCTTTTGCTGTTTTGTGTCTGCAGCTGGTGTCTGGGCAGCAGCTGTTTCTGGGAGGAAGGTGGTGGCAAACAGGACAGCAGACTTTTTGTAGACAGCATGAGTAAGAAAGCGAGCACAACCAGGAGAAGCAGCAAGCTTTGATTTGTCTATGGCGGCTGAGAGAAGCTGGCATTTTGTAAGCTGTGAGTCCTGGAGATGGTGTTATGGCAGAAAAATGAGCTGAAAGCCATGTATGCTGGCCCTTGCCTCTCATCCCAGCACTCCGGAGGCCGAGGCAGGAGGGTGGGAGCAAGTTGCAGGCCAGCCTGGGCTACAAAGTGAGTTTAAGGCCAGCCTGAACTGCACAGTGAGACCCTGTGTCAGAGACCAAAAACCAAACAAAGCAAAACAAAAACTCAGCTCAAATCAACACCAGTGATTCAAAAATGGCAGTTTGCAATTTTAGTTACCTGGTCCAGCTTTGTCAGGTAGGGACTGTAACCTACACAGGGGGTGGGATCTGTGCCACAGATTACAGTGTGGAGTCCGCTATGGGAGGGGTGAGGGGGAGAGGAGGGCTGTGCAGAGCCTGGACAGCCAGGAGGGAGCGGGGAGCCGGAGGTGGGAGCCCCCAGAGGGCAGAAAGGACTGTGGTCATCCCCTGGGCAGACATCGCTTACAGCAGACAGATTTCTCCTTCAGGGTGACCAGAGGATCCCGAGGCCTTGTAACTCCACGGTGTCCTTAGGGAGGCGGTGAGCTGAGGTCAAGGGCACCTTCCCTGCAGGAGGGGCAGCGGCCTGCAGCCAGGAAGGCTGGCAAGGAGGGCCGTGCACCCCGAAGGTTACACGTGTATTTGACCCAGTAATCCCACTTGCGATCGCTATACAGTGAAAGTAGAGTTCTCAGGAGAGGGCATGAGCCGAAAGGTAGTCAGTGCAGCGCTGTGAGCTGGGACGAGACTGTAAGCAGCTCAGGTGGCCCTTACCGGGGCTCACCCCTGAAGAGATGCCCCACAACCCCAGCCGTGCGCAGGGAGCACCGTGTGGTGTCATCTGGAGAGTACGTTAAGTGCAAAAAGGGACGGTGGACAAGTATGTGTAAAATAAGTTGCTCCAGGCTGAAGAAAGCTCAAAGCATAAACGCGTTTTCCTTCACATCTTAGACTGAAAGACTAAAACAACTTCTTTCTTTAACAACTTCTAAATAAAACAGTTATCTTCAGGAAACAGATGGCTCTGGGTGGAGATTTGACTAATCACATAAGGTTTCATCTTATACCCAGGCTAACGTTTATATAGCTGATGGCTAAGTGGTTAAAGTTTTAAAAATACATTTGTGGGCTGGGGAGTTAGCTCAGAGGCATAAACGCCTGCCTTGCAAGCAGGCCGTCCTGAGTTTGATCCCTGGCACTGATAAAAAGAAAAAAAATACATTTGTGCTAGCACAAAATAAAATCCAACAGAAGAGTCTCCCCTTGATTTTGGCCTAATCAAATGGAAGTTAATGCAAGATTTTAAAATACACTATTTGAAATGTCCCTTCTGATTTCAGTGAAGCAGCACAGGGCAGAAAGTCAGCCTCCTTCCTGGCAGATGAGGGGCAGGGCCCAGTCCAGCAAGGGACCAGCACTCTCACACCTAAACAGGACTGAGCCATCAGGGGAGGCCTGTGCTTGGGGTGATTTCCACCCCTCCGCCATACACAGTCAGCCACAGGCAGGGGACAGAAGCCGGTCCCGCCACCACTGCTCACTGAGGTAGAGGGACCGGGCCCAGGGACCTGCTGGCAAGTGAGGCTCCGGGAGCTCTGTGCTCACACCCTGCTTCTCAGCACAGTGTCTCTGCTGCACTGGCCCCGGGGTTTTTGGTCTGGCTGCGGCAGGGACCTCTGGCCAAGGCTCCTCAGCATCTCCCAAGTGCAGCACTGGTGACAGCAGGGGACAGTGAGCTCCGGGCTCAGGGCCTCTGTCTCTCTCCCCCTGTCTCCTCTGCATGACGGCAGAGCAGGTGACACCCTGGGTCACAGGGCCCCTCCGTGCAGCGTGGCCCACCGGTGACCTGTGCTCAGGCGGGGTGGACCTGCCCAGCAGGCCTGCCTGCTGCTTCTGTGGTACAGTCACTGTCAGACAGGAGTAGCAGCTGCTTGGAAAGCTGTGTGGCACTTTCACAGCAGACAGCCGGCTCCCTCTTGGCACAGGGACTTCTCCAGGGCAAGGTGACTTCACGGGGACGTACTGAAGACACACCTGGAGGATGAGGGTCCTCTTGCTGAGTCAGGCCTGATTCCCTGACTCCCGTGTAACCTGTCACCCTCTGCTCCGTCTGGCCTCCCCACCTCACTTCTGTTCCCACCATCACCAAACTGGGGTGGAGCCGCCCACATAAAGCCAGCTCCTGAATCATTCTGAGGGTCTGGAGGTAGGCGTACGCCCAGGGGCAGAGACGCTCGAGGCACAGTGCTATAAAACTGTGTTTTCTGTTCTTTGACACAATTTCTAGTCTGCTCCATTTCATTCTGGCATTTTAGATTTTAAGCCACTTAGCTGCTTTTACAACCTCAAAATGGTCGTGGTGTTCACGACTCTACACAAAGATCACATTTTACGTTGGTGGCACCATCAGACTCATGTGTCCTTCACGCCACCCACACCTCTTTCCGACCACAGATGGGCGGTGGAAAGGGGCTGGCATCTATTAGCGAGGCACCGAGGACTTCTGGGCCAAGCACCAGCCTTGCTCAGGATGTTCCATGCGTAGGCGTCCAGGTGGCCCTGAAGTCACCGACTTCCCAGTGCCAAACTCGGCAAGAGTTAGCACGAGTTGTCATCGTGGGCTGCCTTAGCTTCCTTCTGCACCCAAAGAGGCAGAAATTCGTCCCCGGAGAACACTGACCGTCTGCCTTTCATGGACAGAACTGTGAAATAATGCCTGCCTCTTTGTAGACCTGCTTCTTTCCAGATCTGACTGGGAACCAAAGTGACGCACCGCGTGTCTAGCAAGTTTACAAACATGCTGAGTGATAGGATTATTTCCAAAAGATGAAAGTATTTCTGAAAGTTGAGGAGTACAAAACAAAAGAGGCCTTTGTTCCGGGAACATGAGGAGAGAGCACTGGCGTGCTGGCTGCTGGAATCAGGGGATCTCTCTCGCAGACACGTGGTGTGGGGGACTGTGAGTAGCCTAAGCTGAAGGCAGTGCCCTAAGGCCATTAGAGATGCACAGGTATTTCATTGCCACAGGCTTTGAGCCAGGGGCAGATTCCGAAGGGTGGGGGATGTAGAGTTACAGGTAAATCTCGAGGGGCGGGAGTTGGGGGGAGACAGGAGCTTTTTGATCCTGGCTGAGGTGTTTTCTGGCTACAGTGTCCGGTCTGGGCCAAGAACCCTTTGACCAAGAGCTTTCTTAAAAAAACCTCAGCACAGCGGGGAAGCCAGCTTCCAAGGAGGCACCTCAGCCTTTCCTTAATGTTATGGGGACAGGAACTGTGACCTCGTCATGACAACCAAAGAGTATTGTGTTCATCACTGAAAATTTCTCGGATGGTTTTTTGTTTGTTTGTTTGTTTGTTTGTTTTTAGAAAAACATTTCAATTCCCTGTTCATTGCATGGCATAGGTGTAATGTGCTACAGTCCAGACTGAAATTCGTCTTTCATTCCATTCTTATGCCTTCAGCTGTGTCCTTTCAGGTCTCTGCTCCTCACCATGGGTTTCGTCTTTGGTCAGTCTCACAACTCCTCCCGCAGGGAGCCGGTCTGCAGTCCATCCAGGGCTGCCTGGTGCACATGAATACGGCGACCCCTCACCCAAGCGTGTCCCCACTTTGCGTTGTTGTTATCCCAGTTCCGAGGTGCAGCCTTCCCCCGCCTGAGGCTCCCACGGACGGACGGAAATGTGCTCTGCCAGCCTGTCACTCCTGATGGCCTGCCACTCCGGCGCTGCTCCTGAGCGTTCAGTCACCCAGAGCGCAGCTGCTGGGGCGATGCCAACAGAGAGGCGCCTGCGTGCCTGCTGTGGCACGCGTGCCCCAGGTTCGCGGCCGCTGGTCTGTAGGACACCACCACTAGCAGTCAGTCTGTGACCGGGACAAAGGGAAGGGATGGAGGGGTGGGTGGAAGGCACGAGTCAGTGGGAAGAAACCAGAGGGGTCAGGCTGTAGGTCCTCACAGCTGCACGAAGGCTAAGCGCTGAGGGTCAGCGGGTCTCGGTGGGGCGGGATGCGGGACCGGGAGGAGGGACTCGGTACTGTGGGTCTGAAAGGTGGAGAAGCAGCACCAAGACAAGGGGAGAAGCAAGCCAAGGAAGAGCAAACAGAACAGAACAGGGAGAGCAGAGGGGAACATAAGCTAGGACAGACTGCGAGAGGGCAGGATACGGGAAACGTTTAAAAGGAGCTTTAAAAGCAGGAGACACAAAATTTAAAACGAGTATGACTGACCCAGAAGCAAGAACTCCAGGCAAGAAGTAGTAAGGAAGGGAAGGAGAGGAAGGCGGGAAACAGCGGAGGCAGAGAAAGCAGGGAGAAGGGCGACACCTGGTGGCCGCACAGCTCGCTGGAGGCGCTCAAGCGCCGCCCCCCGGCCGTGCGCAGGCCCCGCCCCTCAGCCTCACGCAAGCCCCTCCCCTCTGCCGTGCGCAACCCCCGCCCCCATCACGCTCAGGCCCCGCCCCAATCACGCTCAGGCCCCGCCCCCCGCCGCAGCTCCCCCCCACGCCGCTCCAGACCCTCCATCAGCAGCGCGGGCTGCAGGGCGGCTCCGGCCTCCGTACCTGCCCCGACCTCCTCCGCGGATCCGAGAAGAGGAGGACGGGAAATCGTGCTGCTGACCTCGGCTCTCCTCGTCTGCACCGCCCACTCCGCTCTGCGCCGGGAGTGGGGCGCCCAGGGCGGCTCCTCCTGCGGGCCGGGGGCGCTGCTGATCTCCGGCCCCGAGAGGGGCGCTCGGCCTGCGCCGCGCGGGAGGTTGCCCCGGGTGGCGACGGGCGGGGAGTGCCTCGGCAGGCTGGCCCACCTGCCGGCTGGGGCGGGGGCCTCCCCAACATTCCTTGAAAGCCGGATTCTCCTTGTGGGTGGGTTTCCTTGTGCTCTGTCTGAGAAGGCGCTCAGGAAGGAGCCGCAGTCGGTCCCCAGGTCGCCAGCTCCTGCAGCCAGGGCTGCCCCTGCGTCTCTGTGGCTCGGCTTTCCTGACCAGCTAAGCCGCCTTGTGGCCTTACCGTCTCTTCATGGGATCTGGGTATGATGAAAAGAAAATTAAAGACAAAAATAAAACACAAGCCTAAGAAGCATAAGCAAGCCTAGGCAGTAAGGCGCTGGCGTGCGGGGAGGGGTACCCAGGGTCACTTTGCGTCCCAGAGGTGCGGTCTCTTTTTATTCCCCCCACAGGTCCAGCCTGATAGAATTGTGGGGCAGCAGCTGAAAAGAAGTATGACATACAAATGACCTTTATTTTGAGAATGCGGGGAGAGTCCCCCTGACTCCCTGGGGTCTGGCATCTCCCCTGGGTCTGTGATCTCGCCATGGGTCGCGTGGAATGAAGGCATACATGTAGCTTAGGTTTGTGTTGGAGCCTGAGGGGGCATTAGGGATGCACAGGTATCTCATTGGGAGTCCTTTGGCGCCAGGGACAAATTCCTAGGGGTGGGGAAGATGGGGCTCCTTTATTCTGCCTGAGGCTTTACCTGCTGCAGTGTACTGTCTGGGCCAAAACGTTCACACTCTACCCCCCAAGACTGGAGAGGGAATCCAGGGCAGCCTTGCTGAGCTATAGCCCTGCCCTTTTTAATTTTTATATTTTGAAACGGTCTCACCAAGTCACTAAATTGCCCAGGCTAAAAATACAGTTATAAGATTTGGATCCTCCCTGTCTGCTTTCTTTTTTTTTTTTTTAATTCTATCTCAGCTTGGTTCTCAATTGAGTGCCCATAAGATGATTGTTCTTCCAGGGGGTGAATGGGGGGGGGCGCGGTTCCATCCCGGGTGAATCCCCCAACTCAGGAGCTGACCCCACCTTGGGAGTGGTCCGTGAGGCTGCTTTCCCTGGAATCTGAATCCACTGCAGATTTAGGACCATTCTGGATCCTAGGAGGCATCCACCCAGGGCATCTGGAGGTGGCTGCTATAACAACTGACAGCTGAGAGCCTGAAAACTCATCTAGCCATGCTGACACTCGGACTGATGAGCATGCTCTGTGGAGCCGAGCAGAGACCTGACCCAGAGATTTAAAATAATGGAGGCAAGAGGTGGGCATGGTGGGGCACACCTGCAGTCCCAGCCCTTGAGGCTGAGACAGGAGGATTACCAAAGTCTTCTGCTCACTTCCTTCTGTCCAGTCCAGCACCCGAGAGCCTCTGGACTAGCATTCTTCCTTGGGAAAAGGCCTGGCACTGCTGTCTTCATGATGGTTGGCTGCATTACCTACACTCTTGGGCTACTCCCAATGCAACCAGCTAGTGCAGAGACCTTAAAACTTGCAACCAGCAAGAATTCGTAGGAACACATTTTAATTGGAGAGCGAGAGAAACTAGCAAGTGACTTTGGCTTCAGGAGTTGATAGAGGTCAAGCCTGGCCCTTCCTGAAGGAAAGGAAGAGAAGAGAGAAAAGGACTTCAGTTTGGGGAACTGAAGGCAATACAGACCTCACAGAGGTCAGGTAAGTGACCGGCGCAGCTCCCCAATGAAACAGGAGACAGGAGACGCTTTTGTGGACGACAGTTAACTGCTAGTTTATTTACGCGGGCTCTGGTTTATATATTTGGCCGTGACCAATCACAGGCTGCCACAAGGAAGCAGGGCGGGAATAGGATGTAGGCTCTGGCTACTATATCCAGCTGTGGCCAATCAGGAGTTGCCACAGAGTATGGAGTAGAGCGCGGGGTGCGCACGGGTTGGCTAATTTAAAGAGGGACATAGCGCATTGCGGAAGCTGGCGTGGTCCTTAGTCCCTGCTGGGGTATGGTATGTTGAGCGCCTGCGCCCAACATCTCCCCCTTTCTTTATAACTGACGCAGGGTCTTCAGAGGTCCGTGCCCCTCGTGAGGTGTCAAGCTGCAGTCATGACAATGCCTCACTACTGGTTGGTGCTTTTTTGGAGGGGGCGGGAGTATTGTTTTATGATCCCAACCCGCATGCTCGCCGACATGGGGACCGGGGTGTCTCCTGGCCAAGGACGACACCCCCTGTGATGCTTTGATCCACACCTGCGTCACAGCATGGCGAGCCATGCTGCCGGGCTTTGACCAGATTCCATGATCAGCAATGCTTGTTTGATACTTTGTCCCTATTCCTTTGACTGCGAATCCGACAGAGCAGAAGTAGACTGCCGAATGCGGCAAGTGTGGTCATGGTAGCCAGAGCCCCTGTTCCTGCCCATTCCTTTATGAAAGCCAATTGGAGAGTTGGCCCGAGCTGGATCACAGGAAACTCGTCTGAGTCTGCCATAACTGGAACCGGTGTGAACTGGAGTACCTGCATAACAACAGCTGAAAGTGTACTGTTATCCCAACATTATAACATATAACAGGTTGTGGTGGAGCAATTTAGAAAAGTCATTGGCTGCAAGGGCCATACGAGATGCAAGAAGGAGGGGAAAAGGAGGCTACTAACCAGGGGAGTTGGCCAAGGTGCCATAGTTAATGGGAGTTGTGGGTGTACTTGCTAGGTCTGGCTTGTGAGGCTCCTGTTGGTTCCCCTGTTCTGTGGTTGACATTTCCTCTGGGTCGGGGTCTGGTGGTTTGCAGGGACGTATCAGGCGTTCCGGGACCCAGACAGGTTCGCTGCCTTCTTCCTGCGGGAAGATACAGACCGCCCCTCTCGCCCAACTAAGTACTGGGCTGGGGCCTCTCCACACCCCATGCAGGAGGTCTTTCCAGCGTACCCAACCATGTTTGGGTGCGACAGGGTTGGCATGTAGCTGTGCTGGCGTGGATCCTTGTGGGTTGGTGTTTACAAAATTGTAAGTGAAGAGGGCAAGATTTAGTCTGGCCCTAGGTGTCATGCCCTGGGCAATACCCTCCTTTTGTTTAAACAGAATAGACTTGAGGGTTTGATATGGCCTAACTTTAATTGCTCTTGAATAAGTTTGGATGTGGCTTTTGTTTTGTCTCGTGGTAGGGGCCGTCAACAATGGCAAGCCCCGACTCCTGCCAAGTTAACAAACTACACCTGGTGCTGACCCAGAGCAGCTGTGAGCTGCTTAATGAGCAGCATGGCTGTCTCTGCGTCTCCAAAAATTCTCCCCGCCGCCTCCATCATGCGGGCCACAAAATCTGAAAAAGGCTCGCTCGGGCCCTGCAAAATTTTTGTCAAGTGGCCTGAGACTTCTCCCCTAGCCGAGACCCATTTCCATGCTTGTATGGCTATTCTATTTATCTGTGCATACACCTCTTGTGGAAATATCAGCTGGTTATTGAGATACTGCCCTTGTCCTAATAACATATCCACGTTCCAGGCAGCCTGATTGTTCTGGGCATTAGCTTGGGCCTGTTCTGTGGCAAGTTCAACATTCCAAGCTTTCCAATCAAGATATTGGCCTGGGCTGAGCACTGCCTTGCACAAACTGGCCCAATCAGCAGGTGTCATGGCATTTCCTGCCAGGGCTTCTACTAGGGACAGGGTATACGCCCCGTTAACACCGTACATGGTGCTGGCCTCCTTAAGATGCTTTATCGCCTTTATATCTATAGGCAGGTGGGCTCTGTTTCCCTGAGCATCTACAGCAACCGGAAAAGCCTGGAGAAAATGGCCCAGGCCTCCTGGGTCCTCTCTTTTGACTTGATGCCAAAGGTCTTCCTGGAATGTCCTAGGGGACGTCTGGACCCGTTGCGGACAGCTACATAGCTGATGGCAGGGTCTCAGATAAGCATGATAATCTGGCGGGTCGGGAGGTAGAGCCGTAGGTCTTATACGGGGTGGCCCTGGGATCCCGTACTCGCTTTTATTGACCCATTTACTCTGAGAAATCCTGCGTTGCAGCTCATTTATGGCCTCAGAGTAAGGCCCTCTCGACTGCGTGTGTGTGACTTCCCCTCTTTCGGTGGTGTCTGCATCCACCATTTTGTATACTTCTTCCTCCTCCCCCTCATTATCTGACGAGTCCTTTGTTTCTGGGTTGGGTGGGGTCACCTCGCCTGCGGCACTGGACTCGCGAGATTGCTCACGGGAGGATTCTGCCTGATGGTAATCAAGCGCCATGACGCCAGCCCTTATATGGTCACGACAAGAGGTGTCTGCAAGGAAGCTTCTCACTATGGCCCAAAGGGGTCTGACTCCTGGCTCCAAGAGGCCATTTTCTGCTGCAAAGTCAAGATCTCTCCCTAATTTATCCCAGCTGGGGATGGTAATGGACCCCGTGGGACCAAACCAAGGTGCTACCTTATCGACCTGATCGAGAAAGTTTTGAATTTGTTCTCATTTCATTTGTAATCCCTTTTCTCTCAGTAAGTCGCTTAAGGTGACTGACAGTGGCTGAGCAGCCCTGTTACCCATGTTAACCGGAATTTCAAGAGTTTCTTTTTGTTTTTATTTATTTATTTTTCCCTTTTTTTTTTTTTTTTTTGTTTGTTTGTTTGTTTTTTGTAACAGGGACAGCTTAGTCCCCGCGCCCCTTTACGGCGCCCCCAAAACCTGCCTCTTTACGGCACCGGGAACTGTTTTTACGAGTTCCTCGACCCTTGCGATGCGTCCGCCCAAGGTTGCCCGATAGCCCCCGCTATCCGGCCCGCAGCCCCCGCTGCCTGTTGCGTAGCCCCCGCTACCAACGTTGAGCAGTTTAACCTGTCAGCCCCCGCCCGCCGAGTAGCCCCCGCTATCAGCGCTTGACGGTTTTACCTGTTGACGTCTCTGTTCCATCGGAGAGAGAGGTTCGTTCCCCGTACTGTCGGAGAGAGGGTCTCAGCGTTCCGGGC